TTGGTGTGTCGGACAGCGCCCGGGGGTGGGGCGGAGGGTTTATGCACTCAGGACACTTGTCCCTGACCCTGCAGCTACTCAGGTTTCAGGAGCTGTCCGGAGCGCAGGAAGCTGAGCGGGCCAAGAGGAACACTCTGCACGCGGCTTCCTGTTGGTCTTGGCACCTCTAAAGGGAGCTGGCTTGACCACCCTGGGGCGAGGGGCACTGTGACACCCCGGCCTCTCCACGAAGGAGGCGATATGTCCAGCGGTGGGCATGCCTGACCCCAGCCTCAGATCCCCGCCTCCCATCATGTTACTAGTGCCCTGGCCTCCTCTGCAACATCTCCCAACAGGCTCCCCTCTCCCCTCCCCGTGCTCAGAGCCCTGCCTTCCGGGCATGTTGTCTGGGCGGCGTGTCTCCCTCCTGGGGCCATGCAGTAACCATCCCCAGCCAGCCTGGGCTTCCGCCCTGCACGGGGCAGTGTTGTGTGCGCTCCTGTTTAATCCCACTTTGAAATCCATGTTTCTCTGTCTGGCCCCAGCCTGGTTCTGGACTCGGCTCTCCCCCTGCACATGCTGCGCCTGGTTAGCTCCAACCTGGAGCTGGGAATGGGCGTCGCCGTGGAGTTTGCGTGGTGTCTCCATTACGTCGTGTGCAGGTAAATGCATGTAGCGCTTGGCTCCCTGCGGCTCCCCAGAGCCAGGGAAGGAAGCAAGACCCCGGTCCCCAGAGCGTAGGGACACAAAGGGCTGCTCCTTCGCAGCCGTAGCCACCTGCCTTAGCCTCAGTCAGTGTATTCCTCTTCCTGCTCCCAGTCCCTGGGGGAGATCCCCGAGGGAGAGCCAAGTGTCGGGGGCTGTCCCTCGCGTACCCCAGTACCAGCCTCAGTTAGGGGGTGTGCTGAGAAGAGACTGGCAGGGTGGTTTGCCTGTGGCGTGGGGATCACACACAGGGAATCCTCACTTAGTCAGTTCCCTGCCAGTGCAGGGGTCTCGGGCATCGGTGCGCCCTTGTCCCGCCTCGTCTCTGCCTGTGGCACGAGATTTGAGTTCCCTGGGGCTAATCTGGCTGCTGGGCTCAGCGTGCAGGTGCTGGGTGCGGCGTGCAGGTGCTGGGTGCTGCCTGTGGTGCTCCAGGGCTGGACTAGACAGTCTGGGAGTCCCTGCTGGCCTGGCCGTCTGGGGCACCCTCAGGCTCGTGTTCCTGACACTGAACGGCCGGCTGTTCTTCTCCCTTTGTCCCGCAGCTCTAGGAAGCTGCCCTCCCCTTTGAGCTTTTGCTCCTCCTCGTCTGCCCTCCCTGACTGGGTGCACGGCCGCCCGGACCCCGTGCTTTGGGAATCTGCTGCCTGGGTTGGTTTGCGATGAAGCTTTTCCCCAGGCCTCCTTGCAACCCGTGATCTTGGGTTGCGGTCACATGACAGCTTGTGCCAGGTGGGGGGAGGCCTGGACACTCCCAGACGAGGGATGTAAATGAGTTGTCTAACCAGTTAAAGGGGGGGGGGGAGGGGGGAGGGAACGT